TTACTTTCAATACAGTGGTGTCTGCTCCATCCTGGCACACACAGAGGAAAACCTCCAGATCACAATGGATCTTGTCACAGAAACCTAGCACATGTTGGGCCTCTCTCTCCACACAGAGAAGACTAAAATGCTCTATCAGCCTCCTCCAGGAAATGAATGTTACCTCCCCCCACCCCACCCCACTTCTTCTCAAATAACCATTGAGGGAAAGACCCTGGGGGTAGCTGAGTACCCACCTTTCTCAAAATGAACGTTGATGAGGAGATCCAGCACAGGTCCTGGTGCATGCTTTTATTGATTGTGATCTCTGGAAGGAAAACCAAAATCCAAGTCTACCACTCAGTCATCATCCCCACCCTCCTCTATGGATGTGAAATGCAGGTGACCTACTGTTGACATCTCAAGAGCCTGGAGAGGTATCACCAACGATGCCTATGGAAAATCCTTGGCATCAAATAAGACTATTGCCACACAAGTGCCAGCATCCTTGCTAGTGCCAAAGATACTAGCATTGTGTTGGTGAACTTCAAGCACCAACTTCACTAGACTGGACATAGTTTGCAAATGGCTGACTAAAAGTGCTCTACTCCCAGCTTAGTTGCAGCCTGAGATCTTGCAGTAGCCAGAGGAAACGCTACAAGGACACACTGAAGGAAAACTTAAACCTGTCTTATACTCCTAGATTCATCCTTTATAACATGGCCATGCTTCCACCTTTTATGAGATTCCTTTTTGGGAATGAAGCCATGTTAAAGCAATGTTAAAGCCACAAATATGAACTTACAACACAAAGTGGCATTTTAACACAGGACGCTGAGCCCGATTGGCCATTATGCTCATCATAGAGAGGTGGTATTATTGGAGCCATCCATAAAGGTTAGTGTCCTGCATGCTGAGGTGTGCAGTGTGAGGGAAAGCTGGTGTTCTCCTGGGAGAGTAGGAAGGAAGGTGAGGGAGTGGGTCTTTCCATGGGAATAAATATAGGTCAGGGGGATGTGAGGAGACAATAATATAGGAAGCCACAACAGTGCAGTCTCTAAGGAGGGAAACATGGATTTTGAATAAGACATAGAGAAATGATTCAGCTTTTGATCTTCATAGATTTCATAGACATTAGGGCTGGAAGGGACCTTGCAAGATCATTGGGTCCAGACCCCTGCCCAAGGGGAGGGAGTCAGCTAGGGTCAAAGGATCCCAGCAAGATCAGCATTCATATGTTCCTTGAAAGAGTCCAGAGTAGGTGCTTGCACCATTTTTGGGAGGAGTCTATTCCAGGCCTTGGGGGCTTGGACTGTAAAGAAGTTTTTCCTTATGTCCAGCCTAAAACAGTTTTGAAGGAGTATGTGACCATTGGACCTTGCCATCCCTTGGGGTGCTCTGGTGAACAGGTGTTCCCCCAGATCCTGATGTATACCCCTTAAGTACATATAAGCTGCCACCCAAGTCCAAGTGCGACTTGGACGAGGGAGTGAAATGTACTCTGTCCAAGTTGTGGATGACACAAAGCTATGGGGAGAAGTGGACACGCCGGAGGGCAGGGAACAGCTGCAAGCAGACCTGGATAGGTTGGACAAATGGGCAGAAAACAACAGAATGCAGTTCCACAAGGAGAAATGCAAAGTGGTGCACCTAGGGAGGAAAAATGTCCAGCACACCTACAGCCTAGGGAATGACCTGCTGGGTGGCACGGAAGCGGAAAGGGATCTGGGAGTCCTAGTGGACTCTAAGATGAACATGAGTTGGCAGTGTGACGAAGCCATCAGAAAAGCCAATGGCACTTTATCGT